CTTCAGAACTGGCTGCCAATGTTTGCCATGGCGTGCACCTGGGGTTTAAATATGTGTGATGTGGCTGCTCTCAGGTCCCAGAACCAAAGGAGCATTTCCTCTAGAGTTAGTCTGAGAATTAGGGCCAGATCATTCAGGAAAGATGTTAGCAAGCACCCCTGCACAGCAAAGGTTCAGAACTCTCTTCGACAAATGTCAGTGAATGCTGGATCAGTTGTTAATTTTTAATCTGAGATAGATAAATTTTGTCTAGCAAAATTATTAAGGGTATTGGGCCAAAGGCAGGTATATGGAGTTAGGCCAAAGATCAGCCATGATCTCATTGAACAGTGGAACAGGCTGATTGGCCTACTCTTGTTCTTATGTTCATCTGCTGCTGAATGCAAGATTAAACAAGTGTGGTGCCATGGAAGTAAGCCACATACTTAATGAGGAAAGCAATGGAAGACTGTGTAAGAAAAGTTGTCAGGGCTCATGAGGGGAATCACCCCATGAAATACCTTAAAAGTGACACAGGCGAAATATGGAAAAGTCAGCCCATTGTTTTTTGGAGTTCTGAGAAAGGGTCACAGGACCCGAAACGTTAACTCTGTTTTCTCCTTCACAGATGCTGCCAGACCTGCTGAGCTTTTCCAGCAACTTTGTTTTTGTTCCTGATTTACAGCATCCGCAGTTCTTTTGGTTTCCATTCTTAGAGCTCCCTTGTTTGTCTTAATTTTCTCATTCAATTTGATCTTGATTGTTTTCAGAACCCTGTTTTATATATCATGAGATTTAAAAAAATGCTAAATATAGAGCCACACTTCATTGTTTTTGTTTCGAATCCTAAATGGATCACTATTTGAAAAGCATAAGATATCACCTTTAAGAATTCTGATCCAAATCATTGTGTAACAATTATTGAATTAAGTCAAATGAGTCAATATTTTCAAGGGCAAATGTGACAAAAAGGAAAATTATTATAATAAACATGGGTGCAGCAACTGTATGCTTTTTTATGATAAATATTTTATGTTGCATAAAGTGTTTAAGCCAGATTTTCATCACACAATGGAGGAACAAATTGAGTCATGAAACAACTTAGCTTTCGCTGGAAAACATTTTTTCTCTGTCTTCACAACCCAGCAACATTCTCATGCAGCACTTGGTGTATTGGGAAGGCCTGTGTGTAAAACCAAAGTCAGGCTTCCCACTGATGATCACAGGAAAATTGTACTTCCTCCCCGTTTCCTCATTGAGTGAGCTAGTGTGTCTTATTGAAACCCTAAAAGAGGTCCTTCCTCCACAGAGAATTTGTGACCACTAGGGAGGCCTGCTAAGGAATCAAAAACATTCTGAAAGGTAATTGCAAAATGACACCTTCAAATCTTAGTATTAGATGTTTTAGAATATTGTAGATGTGTTTTATCTTTTTTACAATCCTAGGATGTCAGCCATCGGGACCTGGGGATTGTTAGCTATTATACTCTTGAGTTTCTCTTCAGATGATTTGGATTCTAAGAAAATAAAAGGACATGGGGATAATACAGGAAGGTGAAACTGAAGTAGATCGATTATCAAATGGCAGAAGCAGGTTCAAAGGGCTGAATGGCGCACTCATGACCAGCATTAATACATTATCAAAGCAAATCTTTGTTATTCATTCAATTGCTCTCTATGCAATTTAGCAACAGCATTTGATGATATAATAACAATGATTATGCTTCAACTAAAATCGTTAGGTCTGAGGCATATAGATCGTCCTTAGGATACAAAGGACACTGTACAAATTCTTTAATCCATTAAAGTCGTAGAGATTTAATCCATTAAAGTCGTAGAGATTTACAGCACCGAAAGAGGTCCTTCAGCCCATTATGTCCACACTGGTCAAAAACAACCACCTAACTATTCTAAGACAACAAGGTGTCGAGCTGGATAAACACAGCAGGCCAAGCAGCATCAGAGGAGCAGGAAAGCTGACGTTTCGGCCTAGACCCTTCTTCAGAAAGAAACCCCACCTAACTATTCTAATTCCATTTTCCATTAAGGGGAAAAGTTTCTTCCTGTCCCCCCTATGTATGCCCTTTATTATTTTATACATCTCAATCACGCTTCCTCTCAATCTCCTCTGCTCTAAGGAAAACAACCCCAGTCTGTCCAATCTCTCTTCATAAGTGAAACTCTCCAGCCCTGGCAACATCCTGGTAATTCTCCCTCTCCAGTGCTATCACATCCCTCCTGTAATGTGGGTTCCGGAACTGCACACAATACTGTAGCTGAGGCCTAACCAAGTTTCAGCATAACCTCTCTACTCTATGCCTTGGCTACCATATGTCTTCATAGCCACTTTTTCCAACTGCCCTGATACCTTAGGGGACTGGTGTGCATGCAAATCGAGGTCTCTCTGATCCTCAGTGCTTCCCAGGGTCCTACCATTAATTACGTATTCTATTGCCTTGTTTGGCCTGCCCAAGTGCATCACCTCACATTTATCTGGATTGAATTCCATTTGTCACTGTTCAACCCCTCTGACCACCCTGTCTATATCTTCCTGTAATCTAAGACTATCTTTGTTATTTACCACCCTACAAATTTTTGTATCATCTCCAAACTTACTGATGCACCCTCCTACATTCAAGTCTAAATCATTTATATAAACTGCAAAAGCAAGGGCCTCACCACGGATCCCACTGGACACAGACTTCCAGTCAGAAAAACATCCCTCAACCATCACCCTCTGCTTTTTGCCACTTAACCAATTGTGGATCTAATTAGCCAAATTTCCTTGGATTCCATAGGCTCTTACCTTTGCTATCAGTCTCCCATGCTTTATCAAAAGCCTTGCTGAATTCCAAGTAGATGACAGCAAAAGAATTATTTTCATCTACACACCTGATTAGACCTCCAAAAAAATCCAATCAAGTTGGTCAGACAAGTCCTCCCCTGAACAAAACCAGGATGACTGTTCTTGATTAATCCCTGCCTCTCCAAATGCAGATTAATTCTGTCCCTCAGAATTGCTTCCAATAGTTTCTCCATCACTGAGGTTAGACTGAATGGCCTTTAGTTTCCTGGTTTATCCCTTGCTTCCTTCTTGAATAATGACACCACATTGGCACCCTCCAGTCCTCTGATGCCTCTCCTGTGGCAAAGAGGAAGTGAAAACTTTTGCCAATGCCCCAGCTATTTCCTCCCTTGCATCATTCAAAGATACATTTCATCTGGTCCTGGAAATTTAATTCCTTTTAAGCATGCCAATCTACTCAGAACCTGCTCTCTATCTAAGCTAATTTTTAAAATTGTATCACAGACCTTCTCCCTGATTTCTTATACCCATATCGTCCTTCTCACTAGCGAACGCCAACACAAAAATATTCATTTAGAATCCTACCTACATCCTCTGGCTCACACAGACATTACCGCTGTGATCCTGAATGAGCCCTACTCCTTCCTTCGTTATCCTGTTACCCTTAAAGTATTTGTAAAATAACTTAGGGATTTCTTTTATTTTACTTGCCAGTATCCTTTCACGTTCCCTTTTAGCTTCCCTCATCTTTTTAAGTTCCCTCTTGCACAGGCTATACCCCTGTAGGGCTTCTGCTGTTTTGAGCTCTTGGTATCTGCCATGGCGTCTCTTTATCTCTTAATCCAATGCTGTACCTCTGTGGATATCCAGGGTTCACAGGACATGACGGTCCCACACTTTTTCTTCATTGGAACATGTTAGCCCTGTACTGTCCACATTTCCTCCTTGAATGCATCCTACTGTTCTAAAGAAGATTCACCTGAATCTGTCTTCTCCCAAACTGGCCAAATCATGACTGATTTTCTTAAAATCAGTCTATCCCCCAATTGGGAACCTCAAATTAAACCCAGGACCGCTCCCTCTCTTGTAGGGTCTTCCACGTAATGGCTTAAAAAGTGTATTTTAAGCACTCTGCTCCCTCTAAACCTTTTGCACTATGACTACCCCAGTTAATGTTGGGGAATGGTTAGTAGGTTTGCAGATGACACCAAAATTGGTGGTGTAGTGGACTGTGAGGAAGGATATCTCAGAGTACAACAGGATCTTGATCAGATGGGCCAATGGTCCAAAGAGTGGCAGATGGACTTTAATTTAGATAAACATGAGGTGTTGCGTTTTGGAAAGGCAAATCAGGGCAGGAGTTATACACTTAACAGTAAGGTCCTGGGGAGTGTTGCTGAACAAGAGACCTTACAGTGCAGGTGAAAGTGGAGCCACAGGTAGACAGGATAGTGAAGAAGGCGTTTGGTACACTTGCCTTTATTAGTCAGTGCATTGAGTATAGGAGTTGGGATGTCATGTTGTAGCTGTACACGATATTGGTTAGGCCACTTTTGGAATACTGCATTCAATTCTGGTCTCCCTGCTATAAGAAGATGTTGTGAAACTTGAAAGAGTGCAGAAAAGATTTACAAGGATGTTGCCAGGGTTGGAGGGTTTGAGTTATAGGGAGAGGCTGAATAGGCTGGGGCTATTTTCCCTGGAGCATTAGAGGCTGAGGGGTGACCTTATAGAAGCGTATAAAATCATGAGGGGCATGGATCGGGTGAATAGACAAGGTTTTTTCCCCAGGATAGGGGTGTCCAAAACTAGAAAGCAAGGGTTTAAAGTGAGAAGGGAAAGATATAAAAGGGACCCAACAGGCAACTTTTTCACACAGAGGGTAGTGCATGTATGGAATGAGCTGCCAAAGGAAGTGATGGAGGCTGATACAATTATAACATTTAAAGAACATCTGGATGGGTATATGAATAGGAACAGTTGAGAGGGATATGGGCCAAATACTGGCAAATGGGAATAGATTAATTTACAATATCTGGTCTGCATAGATGGGTTGGACCAAAGGGTCTGTTTCCGTGCAATTCTATGACTCTAACTTGAAATCCCCTGCTATCACCACCCTATGACTTTTGACAGCTTGCCTTTTTCAGAGATTGTACTCTGTGTATAAAACTCGATCACTTTTAAACATTTAAAATAATAATCTATGTCCTACCTTTCATTTGATCTTCAGAACTTGGCAAATTGTTGCTGCAGTTTAACATGATTGTTGTAGGTAAATCTTCAAACAGAATGTTGTTCAAGGAGTTTCAGACAAGATTCGGTATTTTACAATATTTGAAGACTGTTCTATTTTCCTCCTAATAAATGTAATAATCCTCTCTGATACTTCTATGCACAGAATGTTGTCAAAGGAGCTTCTGTGTGATGCATCACGTATAGTAAAATAAACACGGCAATCAAGTGTAGTACACTTTGTCTCCAATAAAATGAACCAGGAATAATGTGAGAGAAATGAACTTTGTAATTTAACCCTCTGCGTAAACACTAATGGCCTTTCTAGTGCTTCCAAAGCACTGTATGTGTAAACTTTTTACCACACAACATCTGAAACCTCGATACTTATCTGAAGTATTCTGTAAATGAAATATATAAAAAAAAGGAAATACTTGGGTCCAATATCCACCACCTACAGAAGGTTAAAATGTTATCAGTTAGAGACTGGTACCAGTCAGCAAAAACAAACATTTTTATCATGCTGCAGGAATGTCATAGGCACACAGTGAATCTCATAATGGAGGGAAATGCTTTCATTTCATTCATTGTAAAGTTAGATCCCTGAAGAATCAGGAAATTTAATAAGGATGCAGCAAATAGAGATTCATTTGTAGTTCATAGCATAAAAGAAGTTTGCACTTTTAACATCTGAGTTGTGAACTGTCACTTTAAATTTGATTTCTGCTCGCTGCTTACCCCCCAATTATTACTGTCTATAATTTCAAATGTGGTCTGGAATACAAAGCTGGAAAGAAATTATTTAAAACTGACTGTCTGAAGTAAATTAACTGAGTGCTGGGTAAAACTTGTAAATAGGAAGGAAGTGCAAACTTAGATAAGTTCATATAACCATTATATTCAACAAAAATAGTTATTTTAGCTTGGTAAACTTGGTTGAAGGAGAGTTTATATAATCAGGTTCATATATATGGAACAAAGCTGCTTGATTTAACATGTTAGTAATGGAAAGAAAATCAAAAAGGGTTCATTATGTAGTGATTGTAATGAGGTCAGCCAGGTGGACATCATAGCATATGAGCTCCCTGACTGGGACTGTTACCCTGGTCCAATCAGGGAGCCCTGGCTGTGAGGAAGTCACACCAATGTTAACTACTATGCACATGTAAATAAAGGGACAGGAGACAATGAAATTATTTCAATGGCAATGAGATTAAAAATAAATTTTTGAAGAAATTCACTTGCAACAGTTGTCTTTGAATTGGGGTAAGCATTTCTGGGACCATGCTGTTTATTTGGGAAGATACATTCATTCAATCCTGCCATCAAAGACTGGGCCCAGTATGTGGCAAGAATGCTTTATTTTTTATAGTCAAATGACATTGGGGCAGATGAAAAGCAATGAGTAATTCTTGCAATAGCTTGTGGAGCCACAGCTTTTTCAGTTAGTAGGAGCCTATTGTTTTCTAAGGCACCAAATACTAAGACCTTTCAAGAGTCGACAAATTTAGTTAGGGAATATTATGACCCCAAGTTCCTTCTGGTGGCACAGTGGCTCAGTGATTAGCACTGCTGCCTCAGTGCCAGGGACCTTGATTCAATTCCACCGTTGGACAACTGTATGTATGGAGTTTGCACATTCTGCCCGTATCTGCGTGGGTTTCTGCTGGCTTCTCCAGTTTCCTCCCACAGTCCAAAGGTGTGCACGTTAGGTGGATTGGCCATGCTAAATTGCCCATAGTGTCTAAGGTTATGGAGACTAGGTGGATTAGTCATGGGAAATGCAGGGTAACAGGAATAGGGTGGGGAGTGTGGGTCTGGGTGCAATGGTCTTCAGAGGGTCAGTGTGGATCAATGGGCCAAATGGCCTGCTTCCACACTGTAGGGATTTTATGATTCAACATTTTTTGTTGAAAATGCTGCTGACTGAAGTCCTAATTAAATACCTGGGGGTTTTCATGAAGGTCTAAGGACTATCAAAGGAGCAAAGGCCACCTTGCGTGTTGCCCAGGAAGTAATTCCATGATTCTGTATAGCCTGCCCTTATGTGCAAAAGTAGAGGCAGAAATCAGGAAGCTGGAAAGTGAAGGAATCATCAAACCAATACAGTTTGTGGAATGGGCAGTGCCAATCACACCAATTGTGAAGCTTGACTAGTCAGTTTGCCTTTGTGGGGATTTTAAATAAACGGCAAACTGTTTCTCGCAGCTGGATAAATACCCAATCCCTTGCATGGAGGACTTGTATGCAAAGCTGGCAGGGGAGTTGGCAGGGGGGGCGGTGGTGGTGGCGGGGAGGGAGCTGTCCTTCACAAAGATGGACATGAACCATGCGTACTTGCAATTGTGGTTAGATGAGAATTCCCAGAATTATGCTATGATTAATACCCATAAAGATTTGATTTGATACCCATAAAGATAAACAAGACTGCCATTTGGGGTATCATCAGCCTGTACCATTTTTCAGCAGATGATGGAGAATAATTTCTAAGATCTAGCTCAGATTGCCATTTATCTGGATGACGTATTAATAACAGGGAAGACCAATAAGGAGCACTTAGAGAACTTGGACATAGTGTTTGGACAAATTTTTAAGCACTATGTGCCTTAGAAGGGAAAAATATGTGTTCCAGGCAATCCAAGTGACCTACTTGGGCTACAGAGTCGACAAGACCAGGTTACACTTGTTGAAAGATAAAATGAGGACGATCAAAAGTGCCCCAGCTCCCACATCCGTTAAGAGCCAGCTTTGGAAATGGTCTCATAGCCAAGTTGTAGTCTTTAGGGAAGTGAAGCAGCAGCTATCATTATCTAAGGTGTTGGCAAGAGGTTGTGCTGATATGCAATGCCTCCCCATATGGTATCGGGGTAGTGTTGGCTCTCTGATGGCCCAATGGAGAAGAACTCCCAATAGTGTATGATTCCAAGGCTTTGGCTGATTAAGTGTGCAAATACACCCAGATAGAGAAGGAAGGTTGGCAGTCATGTTTGGTGAGGGACAGTTCCTCCAATACCTTTACGGACGTAAATTTGTAATAGTAACAGACCACAAACCCCTGCTAGGGCTACTCAAAGAGGACAAGTTCTGAGGAAGGGTCACCGGACCCAAAATGTTAACTCTGTTTTTTCCTTCACAGATACTGCCAGACCTGCTGAGCTTTTCCAGAAACTTTGTTTTTGTTCAAAGAGGAAAAGGCTGTGCCACCCATAGCTTCAGGCAGAATTCAGCTGTGGGGTCTCATTCTAAGTGCGTATAATTACAAGTTGGAACACGGTCTGGGAGGCCAAGTAGCAAATGCAGAATCATTGAGCTGCCTCCTGCTGGCAGATATACCACTGGTGGTGCTGCCACTGAAACAGTCTGTTCTGGTTTTAAATTTTCTTGACACCCTTCCACTCACTGTGGTCGTAAAAAGATCTGGTCTTGGCAAAACTAAAGCAGCTGGTGATGATGGGGAAACAAAAGGGCCATCACAACTAGAACTGAAACCTTTCTGGACTTGGCGAGACCAGATCACCATAGAGAATGGCATTTTATTACAGGGACCAAGAGTGATTATCCTGAGCAAAGTTCACCGATAGATCCAGGAGTGTCCAAAATGAGGATGTTGGTGAGAAATTATGTCTGGTGGCTAGGACAGGATGCAGACATAGCCGCATTGGTGGGGCAATGCCCAGAGTGCCAACAAGGACAAAAATTACTTCCATCAGCATCTCCCAATTCAGAAAAATGGCTGGGTAAACCCTGGGATCAGTTACACATCAACTACGCTAGCCCTTTCATGGACTTTATGTTCTTAGTCATTATGGACACCCACTCAAAGTGGTTGGCCGTACATAGAGTTCATTCGTCAAACACAGGATCAACAATAGAAAAGTTCCGAGCACCTTTTACTATGCACAGATTCCTGGAGGTATTGGTCACAGACAGTGGGCCATCATTCACCAACAGGGAATGAGAGTATTTCCGAAAATCGAATGGCATTCAGCATATAAGGACAGATCCATACCATCTATCATATAATGATCTGGCAGAAACAGCAGTCCAAACTTTGAAGACAGACTTAAAGACACAGCCTACGGCTTCACACGATACCATTCTGTTTCCTATTGTTTATCGGACCACCCCTCATGCAACAACAAGGACAGCTCCAGCAGAGCCCCTACTGGGGAGAATATTCTGCACCAGGTTAAATTTGATCTACCTGGACCTCGGGGAGAGGTTGAAACAGCATCAGTAACACCAATGCCAGACACATGACTCCTCTAAGTGAAAGAGATAGTTTACTTCAGAGGATGAAGTTTGATGCTGAAACCACAGACATGGCCCTGCATGGGTAAGAGGCACGGTTGATGTGAGGTCAGGTCCAGTGACGTACAAAGTTCGGGTAGGTGAGGTAATCCTGAATAAGGACGTGTGCCACATGAGAGCTGCAAACTTGTAAATGGTGCGGAAACAAAACATGCCTGGCCCCTCCACAGCCTTTCTGACTGTTCTGGAACCCATGGGTTCTCCCCCTCCACCTAGCATTGAAGAAACTTCAGAATCAGAGACAAACATGGCGGATCTCAGAGCCTCAACGCCTTTAACACCTGAACAACAGGATGAATTTCTTCCGAGATGCTCTGGGCACAAGAGGCGGGCTATGGGTCTGGTACACACGACCCATATCCGAGGCTGCGTCAGAAAAACCAGACCTGGTGCAAAACCGCCCCAGGACAGGCTACAAGAAAAAGAACAGGCCTACGTCCCTGAACTTAGAGGAGGAGGGATGTAGTAATTGTAATGAGGTCAGCCAGGTGGACATCACAGAATATGAGTTTCCTGATTGGGGCTGTTAACCTGGTCCAATTAGGGAGCCCTGGCCAACAGATATAAACAGGTGGGTCAGATGTTCTGTTCACACTGAGAGCTGACTGAGGAAGCCAGATCAGTGTCAAGTACTATGCACGCATAAATAAAGGGTGACTTGGTGATGGAATACCAGCCTCTGAGGAGTTATTTCACATTGTGCATGTGTAAATCCCATATGGTTTTCCTCAATCATCTTATTAATTTTTATAAAGGAT